GTACATATTTATGTATACACAGACATTTACTGAGCTCCATTGTCAGCCTAACCTTTGCCATGTTTCATCAAATACTTCTGAGAAAACTTTATATGTGTTATTTTTATAAAATAATCCAGCTCTTTATAATTATTTTTGTAGTTATTTTCTGTGTAATCCAAATTTATTTAAAATAAAATCAAACAAATAAAGCATTTATTTTCCTATTTATTGGAGAGCTACAGTGTGCCAGCCTTTATACAAAGTCCTAGTAGTAAAAAAATAAATAAGACATAGCCCTCCCTTCAAATAGCTTATAGCCCAGTAAGAGCAATAAAAGAAATAAGCAGTTTTAGTGTGATGGGGCTGGAATAGAGGCAAGACCAAGCTATTGAGAGACAGATCAAAGAAGGGCTACCTAATTCAAATTTGAGGAATTAGAGAAATCCTTCCTAGAGAAAATGCTTTCTAAGTTGAGACCCATGTAACTAATTTTGAAAACGAGGTATTATTATATCTAATTACATTGAAAAATTGGCTTTTACTATGAATATCAGGCATATATTTATTAGTATCTGCAACTAGCAACGTTGTTTTAATAAACTTTCAATTTATTTTTACATCAATTCACATGTCTTTCCTAAACAAGCAGTAGTGCCAAAAGTAATCTAAGTAGAAGTACGGTATAATAAAGAAAATACAAGTCATGGCCTCTAACTTCAAGACATTTACAATCCAGCCATGGAACAAGTCTATTACCTATGAAATAAGAGTGAACAACACAAAGCAACGTATGAACATAAGCTGGGATGAAAGGACTGTAATTGCTACAGGAAATCCAAGCTCCTTCAGGGTAAGAGCCATGTCTTAATCATGTTACTACTCCTGGCTTGAGGGTATGTGTTTGAGAGAGGATAATAAATAACGTAAATTGGGGACCATGATGCTAGAGAAAATTTAAAAATGAAATGATAAAGGTACTGTTGAAAGAAGGCTGCTCTGGAATTGCTGCATAGGATCAGTGGAGCGCACAGCAGGGTATGGTAAGGTCAGAAGCATTTCAAGGCTTGGATGAGAGTTTCAGGGTGCAGAAGAAGAAGTATACGGACACTACAATCATTGAGGAGAAATTTCATCAGAAAATGATGACTTATCTGAAGGGTCTGGGATAAAATAAAGGACATAGAGAAAATGTGTTGTAATCCTAGAGAAATGTTTGCTACTGACAGAGATAGGCTCAATGGAAAGGAGGAATCAGTTTGGGAAGGCACTGAGGAAGCGTTCAACTTGGGATATTTCGTTTCTGTGATGACAGAGACAACATCCTAAAACAAACGACTAATTCACACTTGAAGATATAGGATAAGATAAAGGAGAGAAGTATAGGAGCATAGACCTGGGTATTACAAACTTGGGAGTAAAAACAAAAGCCATTGCATTTTCATTATGCCTTCATTCAATACATATTTACTGAGTCCTCAACATGGGAGTGGAGTAATGAACATAGGAGACAATGTCCTTGCCCTCATAGAACTAAAATTCTAATTGGGATTACAAAAAAACAAAAATAAATGTTGTAGTATGCCACCTGGTGGTAAGGTCTATAGAGTAAATTAAGGTAAGAGAGAAGTGTAGATGGAAATGGTGTGGTTTCCTGTTTGTTCATTTGTAGGTTTCTGTTTTTTTTTTCTTTTTTTTGACAGAACCTCACTCCATTGCCCAGGCTGGAGTGCAGTGGCACAATCTTGGCTCATTGCAACCTTCACCCCTGGGGTTCAAGTGATTCTTCTGCCTCAGCCTCATAATGAGCTGGGCCTACAGGTGCCTGCCACCACACCTGGCTAATGTTTTGTATGTTTTAGTAGAGATGGGGTTTTATCATGTTGGCCAGGCTAGTGTTGAGCTCCCGACCTCAAGTGAGCCACCCGTCTTGGCATTCCAAAGTGCTGAGATTACAGGCATGAGTCACCACGATGAGCCCCTATGGGTTTTTTTGTTTTGTTTTGTTTTTAAAGGGAGATTAGGGAAGACCTATCCAAAAGATGATATTAGAGCAGAGATGTGAAGCAAAGGAACATATGAGATGTACAAATTTCTGGGAACCAAATAATTTTTTTTTTTTAGACAGAGTTTAGCTCTTGTTGCAACAGCACAATCTCGGCTGACCGAAACCTCCGCTTTCTAGGTTCAAGTGATTCTTCTGCCTCAGCCTCCTGAGTAGCTGGGATTACAGGTACTGGGATTAGCGCCCCCATGCCCGGCTAATTTTTGTACTTTTAGTAGAGATGGGGTTTCTCTAGTTTGGTCAGGCTGGTCTTGATTCTCAACCTCAGGTGATCTGCCTGCCTCGGCCTCCCAAAGTGCTGGGATTGCAGGCATGAGCCACCATGCCTGGGCCCTTATTTTGTAAGAGATAGAGGCAAAAGTAGGTGCAATGGTCCTGCAGAGGAAGAGTTATCAGCTTCATTGGAGCAGAAGGAGACAGGAGAAAAAAGGGAGAGGTGAGACTGGGGAGGCCGATGAGTCTTCTAGGGCCTAGTGAACCATTGGACATTTCTCAGCTTTTACCTGGAGTAGACTAAAAGCCAGGGAGGATTTTGATTCAAAGAGTGATGTGAGATGGGCAACAAGTTTGTTTTCCCTTAAAATTCATATATGGAAATCCTAAACTCCAATGTAATTCTATTAGGATGTAATTAGGTCATAAAGGTAGAGCTCTCATGAATAGGATTAGTGCCTTTTTTAAAGGGACCCCAGCTCTCTTGCCCTCTTTTTGCCATGTGAGGATCCAAGGAGGAGTCATCTGCTTGCAGCCCAGAAGAGGGCCCTTGCCAGAACCTGACCAGAATGGAATGCTGATCTTGGACTTCAGCTTCCAGACCTGTGAGAAATAAATTTCTGCTGTTTAAAAGCCACCTTGTCTGTGGTGCCTGTTGTAGTAACAAACCAACTAAGATAAGAAACATAATCTAATTTACATTTTAACAGGATCACACCCACTGCTGTGTTGAAAATAAACAGTAGAAAGAAAGTGAAAGTGAGTAAACAGGGAAACTATTTCAATAAATCAGGTGATAGATGACAGTAATGGTGGTGAGAAATGAACTGATTCTGAATGTATTTTGAAGACAGAGAAAACTGGGTTCTTTGGTGTTCATTTATGTCATGACAGAAACAAGGGAAGATGATTTTAAGTGTTTTGTCTGAAGCACCTGGAGGAACGAAGCTAGCATCTTGTGAAATGGAGTAGACTGGGAGAATGGGTTTGGGCAAAAATCGGGGTCAGTTCTGGATATGCTAAGTTTGGGATGTATATTAGAATTGTGTATAAAAATGCCACAGTATGTAGCACTGAAGTTCAAAGCTGTGGTCCGTGCTGGAAACAGATATTTAGAAGTGGCTAGTGTTACATGGTCTCTAACGCCATTAACACTGAATGAGATGCCCTAGGGAATTACTATAGAGAGAAAAACGAAAAGTTACAAAGTGAGCTCCAAAACGAAGAGGGACCAGCAAAGGGGATTGAAAAGGGGTGGCTCTCCAGCTCATTGGAGAGCCATGAGAAACTGTTTTACTGGTAGCCATGTGAGGAAAATGTTTCTTTTTCATAAAAAAATTAGATTCAGGGGATATATGTGCTTATTTGTTACGTGGATATACTGCATACTGGTGGGAGCTGGGCTTCTACTGTACCCATTACCCAAAGAGTGAACATTTTATCCAATAGGCAATTGATTCAAGAAGAGAGCTACCAATTGGGTTAAATGCTCAGATAGACCTACTGAAGAGATAACTGAGAAGTTATTGATGGATTTAACAATATGGAGGCAATTGGTAAGCCAGACAAGAGGTAAATGATTGAGATAAAAGCCTAAATAGGGTTGGTTCAAGAGACAAAGACAGGGCAGAAATTAGAAACAGCAAAAGTAGATAATTCTTTTGAGAAATTCTTATCCTAAAATAAAGAAGAGTAAAGAGAAATAGCTGGAGCGGGGATATGGAATCTGGAACATGCAAAAGCAATTGAAAGCAGGAACGCTAAAGGAAAAACAAATTATTTTTGTTGCTGAGGATGAGACATCCTAAAGATAACAGGGATGGAATAGCTAGAGACAGATAGGAATATAGCCATCACGGTACAGTGTCCTATAAGCCAATAGGACTGGAAACATATCAACCAATATGAAATATAGCAGAAAAGACAAGTCGAATGGGTATAAAGAAAAAGCATATTGTGTTTATCAAAAAGGAGGTCATTAAAAGAAAGAAGTATCAGAACATGTCAGAAAGTTTGCGCTTATGTGTTTTTAAGATATCTAGAATATTTATTTATGTTATGTTTCAGGTACTCTTTTAGTCACTAGGATATAACAATACACAAAAAATGGAAAAAGAAAAGTACCATTCTTATGGATGTTGAGCCTATTAATTTTTCCTGAAGACAACAACAACATTAACAAAGAAACTATCATATTTACAAAAGCCCTCAGTAGTCTCTGGTTCCCATTATTCACATCCTTATGTAATCCTCTCACCTTGTGTGAACTAGACTTAGTGATTTACTTTTAACCAAAAGAATGTGGCAAAGCTGATGGCATATTGCTTTTACAATTAGGTTACAAGAGATTTTGACTTCTGTCTTGCTAGCAAACTCTCCCTCTTGCCTTCTCATCTCACATGATTTGAAAAAGCAAGCTGCTATTTTGGAGAAATCTGTGTGGCAAGGAAATAAGAGCAGCCTTTGGCCAACAGTCCTGGAAGAACTGAACCTAGCCAACAACCACATAAGTGAGCTTGAAAGCAGACCTTCCCCAGTCAAGCCTTCAGATGAGATCCCAATTCTGACTGACACTTTTGGTGCAACATTTTGAAAGACACCAAGCTAGACCCCTCTACTAAATGATGCCCTGATTCCTGACTCACAGAAACATGAGATAATAACATATGCTGTGCTAAGTTACTGTTTTGCGGTAATTTATTTTGTATCATTAGATGAAGAATATATTGACTTAACCACTCACCAGTTGTTCCAATGGAGGAATTACATCTTTCAAGACATGCTGTGAATGATTCCTTCTGTGTCGGGGTATCTGCAAATATATTAACATTTGATATTGTTACATTATTTTTCTTAATAGAGTTTAGTAAGGGTACACATAAAAATAACCATATTCAGTGCCATTCAGCATGTGAATTAAGTACTGTACTATAAAATGAGAAGTAAATGTTTCGGACTTTGACTAATTTGAATAAAACGTGTGCTCACATGGCTGGCTGCAACCACATCTCAAACCCAATGCTCTGCTTACCATGGAATCTTGACAACCCTTTCTTCACATGATGGAGTCTGTGTTGTCTGATGTGAAGCTGGGCAGATCTTATGCCTGCCTCAACCAAAAAGTACAGCAGAAGTTCCACTCTATGACTTCAAAGATTGGAACACAAAAAAGTCGTATATTCCCCTGTGTCATCTGAGAACCTCACTATTGGTCAATATGTTGGAGGAATCCCAAATCACCCCTACAGAGTGAACACCTGGAAAGCCTTGTAGGTTTCCGACGGATAGAAAGGCTGATGCTCCAGGAGACAGCCAGCATCAACCACCAAGCTTATGAGTATAAAGAAGTCCTCTACCCTTCCCAGGCTCTGGTAATCATCATTCTACTCTCTATCTTGATGAGATCAATTGTTTCATTGCTCCCCATATGACTGAGGACATGCGAAGTACAAAATGATAAATGCTCGAGTTAATGAATATCCCAATTACCCTGATTTGATTATTATACATTGTAGGCCTGTATCAAAACATCGCACATATCCCATACATACACACACACACACACACACACACACACACACACACACACATTATGTACCACTAATAATTAAAAATAGAACATTAAATTTAAAAAGAGCTCTAGCCTGGGCAACATAGTGAGACTCCAACTCTCCAAAATATTTTTTTTAATTAGCTATGCATGGTGGCACATACCTATAGTCAGTCCCTAGCTACTCCAGAGGCTCAGGTGGGATAATCACTTGAGCCAGGATTTCGAGGCTGAAGTTAGCTATGATCACACAACTGCACTCCACACTGGGCAACAGAGTGAGACCCTATTCTAAAAAACATTAAAAATTTAAAAAAAGGTGAGCCAAGATTGCACCATTGCACTCCAGCCTGGGTAACAAGAGCGAAACTCCATCTCAAAAAAAAAAAAAAATTAAATTAAAAAAAAATAACTCCTGATAATGGCCTTTTGGCCACTGGGTCTCCACCAACCTTCAAACTTTCCAGAAAAGACCTCATATATATTGTGGAGTAGAAACAAGCTATTGCTGCTGTGCTTCATCTGAATTTTTCACCAGAATCTAAGGATGATAAAAGCATTGTTCCACACCTCTATGTGTCAGGGTGATTTTCTAACTAGGACAAAATATTTGAGATTAAAATGTTTTTTTCTTTTCTTTTCTTTTTTTTTCCTTTTTTTTTTTTTTTTGAGACAGGAGACAGAGGCTTGCCCTGTTGCCAGGAGCCAGGCTGGAGTGCAGTGGTGTGGTCTTGGCTCATTGCAACCTCCGCCTCCTGGGTTCAAGCAATTCTCCTGTCACAGCCTCCCAAGTAGCTGGGACTACAGGCACACACCACCACACCCAGCTAATTTTTGTATTTTTTAGTAGAGACGGGGTTTCACCATGTTGGCCAAGATGGTCTCGATCTCCCGACCTCGTGATCCACTTGCCTCGGCCTCCCAAAGTGCTGGGATTATAGGCATGAGCCACTGTGCCTGGCCTGAAATGTTTTTTGTTGATTATGTGAGCTCAGCTTTTTCAGAATCAACATTCTATTAAGTGTCATGTCTTCTATTATTATCAAGATATGTTTAAATATTTAAAAATCACACTTGTTTTATGTGCTTTTGGAACAAACGAAAAGTAATCTTAATGTTCTTTCCCCTAAAGAAGCATCATAGACATATTCTACAATAAAACAAAAAGAGAAAGAGAATTTATAATCAAATCTTATACTGCTTTATAATTTAATCAGAAAGTCTCATTAATATTATTTCATATTTACATGGAGAGAAAGAAAGAGGGAAGGAACAAGAAGGGGCAAGAGGAGGATGAAAGAGAGACAGACAGAGAGAGAGAGGGGTATAAGAAATTAAAGAAATAAAGCAGGCCTGAGTACTATGTCTAGGAAAGGACTTCATTGTCCTTGGCTCTGGTTACTGGCACAAGCAACTGACTGAAGGAATTAGATCAATGTCTGTGAAGATTTTGAGATAATTGTTTTACCAAAAAATAATAAGTAAATAAATAATATCAGAATCCTGGCCTAAAAATATCCATGACTCTATGCAACCCTGGAGCCCCACATTTACTCTATGAAAACTGTATTATGAATAAAGTAAAATTCTAAGGAGATAATTTTCTCCAATGTTCACTTCACAGATGGCCTATGGAAGATAATGAAGGAAGAGACTTCAGAAAGCAGGGCCAGAAGCCCTGGAGAACAGTGGCCATGGGGAATTCCAGAAAGGAGAGTCAGGGACTGTCTCTACTTCCAGGGAAGTTGTCTCACAGAGCCTGACCAGTAGGATTTAATTATTGTTCTGGTCTAGTGACTGTTGGCTGTTTACCTTTTTTTCCTTTTACTAATGAGAAGGGTTTTTGTTTGTTTGTTTTTTCCAGGTATCTTGCTCCATTGTTATCTATTGGATGTGGTGGGGAAAGTGGGAGAGAGCTTTTGTCTCAAGCTCTAAATCACTTACCTGTGCTGTCTCCCTACTCCTCCCCCAAAACCTGGACCTTAGAGAGAGAGCCGTTTATCACCAGAGATTCTGAAATTTGAGCTTGATGCTATAACTGGATGGGACTTCGGGCTGTGTCCTTTGGTGGGGGTGGATGGATGGATTGCTAGGTATTAGAAAACAGGTGTAAATGGCTATATGGTGAAGGAGAGCGAGGACTGAATGGCAGACTGGCTGGTCACCAAAATTGTATCCTCTTTTCTGGATGCTACATTTCTCAGCCTGCCTTGCAGTTAGGAGTGGCTGTGTGACCAGTTCAGACCAATGGATGTGAACAGAAACAATGCCAGCCATTCCCTGGCTAAGGCTATGAACCAGGGAGTACTTCCCCTCCATGAACAAGGTTCTACAGTGGGATGAAGATGCAAGATGGAAGGAGTTTGGGCTCTGAACCACCATGTGGAAAAAACAAACATAAGCCAGTAAAGCTCACTTTGTTTTCTTTAGTAAATTTTTATTGTGGAATAATTTTATACTTAAGAGAAAAGTTGCAGAGGGAGTTCCTGCAGAAAACTTGCATCTAACTCTTACATAAGTGAGAAATAAGCTTCTATTTTTTGGAACCCTCATCTATTTTAGAGAATTTTGCAGCTGCTAGAATTACCTCAAATATGGTACCCATAGTTGATACTCAGTTAACATTTAAATGAAAGGTCTTATGCATAAGGAAACTGAGAGCAGAATACTTAGTTAATGGGAGTGATCCTAGAAACCTAAAATTCACATTTATTAATTATTCACTGATACTTCAGCTTCTTCTCAGGAGTAGAAGTATATATGCATTTGGTATCTAAACCTCTTCAAAAAACAGAAATTTATTTTATCTTGCTATACATTTAGAATGCACTACTCTTAATTACTACTCATTATACTAAGATTTATACTCTCCACTGCAAATTTCATACATATGTCGTATATTTAACTTACAAGGGTGGAAGAGTTCCAAGATGGAAAGAGTTTTCTTGTTCTGTTTCCTTAAAACCCCACTAGATTTCCAGTCTTAGGGCAAAAGCAATTCTCCTAAAAAGTGAAGTACCTCAAGTTTTAAGTGTTAGAAGAGCAGCAAGTAAAAGTCTCCACAATATTGGCCATTTACTGTTAGTTGGACCATTTCTTCTATGGCTAACTCCATGCCCTCTTTCTTCTGATCACTACTGATTCTGATGGCTATGGTGACCCACTTGCCTCTAAATATTCCCTCCACTCACCTACAGAAAGCTTTTATTTAAGGCAATGTTTGGAAATGTGTGGTGTATCTATTGTTAGGGGCATGAGAGATTATTTTAGCTGATGAGTGTTTTCATGGTAATGATTTATAAAATCCTAAGGTTTCATAGAAAAATGTATCACATCAAAACCATTTACCAGTGATATGAATATATTTTGTTTCAAAACAAACCTATTTAAGTTTAAATAATATAATTAAATAAGCAATTTATGGTATGAAATATGGAAAAAACTCACAAACATAATCAGTGAATGACTGAAGTTTGGGTAACAAGTTTAAATGAGAAGAATCAAAATGGAAACTCAATACATACTTATTTCACCCTTGAAGGGGCCCATGGAGTCCATGGTACAAATAAGAAAGCAAAGTAAAAATTATACGAAGATAATATTATCTGCTAACCTTTATTGAGTACTTGTTGTCTGCCAGGCATGGTTCTATATGTTTTGCATTTATTAGCATGTTTAATTATCACCCAAACCTTAAGGGGTTAATAATATTAACCCTTTTTTTATAAATATTGAAGTATAAATACAGACAGTTTAAGTAACTTTGAAAATCCATAGCTAATAAAAGGCATAGGTGGTATTTTAACCCAGACCTAAGTAAAAGCTTAGCTATGACACTTTATTGTTTCTCCAGCAATGTATGTGTGTGTGTGTGTATATAGGCAGTCACTAAATTCTTGGGGAACTACAAAGTTGAGGCCCTCTGAGTACATAAAAGGATATTTCTAAGGTAGAAATTTAGAGCCAAACTTATGAATCTGTACACATTTATACAGGATGCTAGAAATCAGGTTTCAAATTTGTTATGAATCATCTTAATACTCCTTTAAGGGAAGTAATATTGCTGATCATTCCTAAATCAATAAACTAGCCAATCTATCATTTTCAACCAGGTTATGAAGATATTGAAAAAAGGGGACTTTCATCACCTGTCTTTTGCTCTAATGTTGTTCTCAGTAAAGCATTAGGCCAAGATATATGTGATTATTCCAAATCAGATTATGTTGACTGAGACTTACGATTTAGGAAATTCTGGATCCAAA